GTCTTCTAAGTGTTTGGAAGTTATTTGTTCAAGTACTTAATGTAGTTTGGCTCAAGTGCCTTTACTCTCTAAATGCATGTTGTAGCATTTAATGGGCGAAAGGGCCCTGGTTACCTGAGGAGGAGTCAGCACCACTTGGTGTAGCCTTAAAGAACACATGTTGTGAATGTCTTATAAGGTGAAATGGTCATTGAAATATCAAGGACTTGAATAATTGTATTTCCTGAAAAATGTATGTTTATGAATTTTCTAACTTAAAAAAAATAAACAAAGATGCAGAAACCCAGGCCTGGAAAGCCGGCCGAGCTCGCCGGAGGCCTCAAGCTGGAAAGGGGTGAGACCAGAGGAGCACTCAGCTCCATCCTGTGGCCGCCCGGCCTCTGGGCTATCCCCGTGTCCCCCAACTTCCCTCCCCTTCTCGCTGCCGCCTCAGCTCGCAGGCTGTCCCGCCTCACAGGGGGCAGTTGGTGAGTCTGCCCCTCCCTCTGGCACCCGCCCCCACCCTCCTTATGGCCCTGGAGGCCCCAGCTCTCTCTCCTTCTCTCCCTTGGAAGGTGATTAAAGTCATGTCTGACGGGGCCTCGGCTCCCCTGTTCCCTCCCGCCTGACTTCCTCCTGCTCCCCATTTCATCGCTTCACCTGCACAGGCCTGTCCCTAAACGCCTCCTTTGTTCCCGCTCCCACCTCGGCTGGTGCCTCTTGCTCTGATGGCTGGGCCTGGCCGTGGAGGGCCACCCAGCCTCGGGTTTCAGAGGTTTCCTGGAGAGCAGAGAGCGGCTCAGCATGTGCCCGCCTGGGGAAGCCTCCAGCCGCCCACACACCTGGACATGCACCTGGACGCTCCCACTGCCCTCGGGGAAGGGGCGACTGGAGATCAGGCCCCTACCGCCCTCAGCCGCACGGGCCACGGGCTGAGCATGTGCCAAATGAGCCATTAATGGCCACATTCGCACCCCCGGACAGTGTGATTATCCGGATGACAATCTGAAATGCTCAGTTCCCCATTTCCACTCATGGCAATAGCCCGCGGCCAGTCTGCCTGGCGGGGGCTCCCCTTCCCCTGCTCCCTCAGGTGTTAGGACAGGGGAGGGTCAGGACGGGGGAGCGTCACCAGGCCAGGCTACACTGTGGCCCTCGGGGAAGTCACCCCGCTCCCCCGGCCTCGGTTTCCTCCTGGTAACATTGAACTAGAGCGGGGATTCCCCACCCGGCAGCACATCAGCAAAGACCCCAGACTCTGAGCCCCGACCCAGGACCTCCTGGGGGCACCTGGGCATCTGTGTCCTAGCAATGCATCAGGCCATCGGGTCAGAGGTCAGCTGTTGGAAGCCACTGGACTCAGGGAGTCCAAGGAGGGCCTGCCAGTGGGGGAAATGGGACAGCCCAGGCTGCGCCCCACTAATGGATGAGCCAGCGCTGCCCCTCCCCGGCTCTGATTAACTTCAGGGAAGTCTCTAACATCTTAAAATCTTTCTTTCCCTTCCTTCCTCCCTTCTCCCCTCCCTCCCTCCCTCCCTCCTTCTCTCTCTCTCTCTCTCTCTTTCTTTCTTTCTTTCTTTCTTCCTCACCCAAGAATATTTTTCCCATTGATTTTTAGAGAGAGTGAAAGGGAGGGAGGGAGGGAGGGAGGGAGGAAGTGAGGGAGAAAGAAAGAGAAACATTGATGTGAGAGAGACACATGGATTGGTTGCCTCCTGCATGCGCCCTGACTGGGCCTGGAATCAAACCTGCCACCCTTTGGTGTGCGGGCTGCTTCTCTATCCCCCTCCCTCAACACTCCCCAACCCCCCACCCCAAGCAACACCGGCCATGGTGAGCCTATGTCTTCATCTATAAAGTCAGTGCCGGAGCCCCACTGGGTGAGCCTTTTGCCGGGAGTAACCATGGAATGCCAGGGCCAGTTCCTGGCACATGGGTGTGCTCCCTGAAGCCTGGCGTGCCTCTTGCCCATTTGCCTGTCACTCTCGCTGCCGTCCTGGGCCGAGCCTCTTATTTTGCTGCTTCCTCCTCAGCACCCACAGAGGTCACCCCACCTCCTTTCCTACCCGCTGGTCCCAGAGCGGAAGGCCTCCCCCAGATCTCCGGGAAGTGCTTCTGCCCCTCAACTATGCCCGGGCCTGGAGCCTGGCTTCTCTGTTCTCTCTCCACAGAGCTCTTGCCGGCACCAGCCCCGCGTTCAGGACTGCGGGGCCATGACCTCCCCACAGCCCCTCAGCCAGCAGCTCAGCCTCCGTGGGGAGCGGGTGCTGAGCGGGGCAGGGCTCTGAGAGGAGCACTCCTGGGAGCAGGCGGCTTGGCCAGGAGGAGCTGCCCTGCTCAACAGCAGGAAGGCCTGGGCTGGCGGAGGGAGGCGCGAGGCCCGGGTGCGTGTGTTCCTTGTCCCCTCATCAGCCGATCCAGCCCGGGGAGCCCCGGAGGTCGAGGTGGTGGACACCTGGGGGACCCCAGGGGCATTCAGAGTGAAATGGACGTCTGACCCCGGGTGCCCCAGAAGGGCCGTCATGTTGCCACCGAGTGTCCTGCCCCCACACTGCCTCTGCTCGGGTCCTAGGCAGATGGACACCCACAGCCCATGTCACCTGCAGCGAAACGTGTCTGCAATGACCTCACCCGGGCTGTCACCGTAGCCTGTCCGACAGGTCTGGACAGAGCTCCCTGTGCAGAGTGTGGGCCGGTGTTTGGGTCTGAAGGGGATGCGTCAGAAAGGTGCCGGTTGATGTGCGTGTTCATTCTGACCCATTAACCCACGCACTCCGCTCGGTGCCACGGCTGATGCTCCCGCAGAGCCAGGCCCAGGCAGGCTGTCTGCTCCCTCCGCCCCGGGCTGGTCTACGCTGCTGGCACCACACACCCACACACGCACACACATGCACGCACACACGCACACGCGTGCACACGCTCACACACAGGCGCACACACTGCATGAAGCTCCCACCATCACTGTCACATCTGTGGGTCAGACCCTCTCCCCGGAGAGCACCTCCTCCGAGTCCTGCCCTTCAGGCTGTTCTTGCTGCTCCCCGTGCTGGACAAGACCGAGGGCAGACTGTCCCTCCGGCCCAGCAGCTGGACGGGTCCCTCCCCCTGGCCTGTCCCCACCGCAGGTGAAGCGGGAGGACGAGCCTGCAATCCGTGGACCTGGCCTTCCGTCCACTGTGACTGGCGCACCGGCAGCTGCTGTCGGGCGGACACTCCCAGAGGAGCTGCTGTGCGCTCTGCCTCTGGCCTGTGCCTGAGCCTGAGACCACGGCGGCCCCTGGGAGGGCACGGCGGCCCCGGGACCAGAGGCGAGTTGAGCTGGTGTCTCCGGGGAGAGCGGCCAGGCCCCTCTGTCGTCAGGGCCCCTGCTTTCCTAGATGGTGACACCCGGCTCCAGATGAAGTTTGGGCCCAGCCCTGCATAAGAGCCGGAGCGGGTTCTCTGCTGGTAACAGACGTGGGAGCCCCCAGGCCAGCTCTTGGCTTCATCTCCCCTCCTCGTCCCTGAGGCCCTGACGACATGTTCAAGGCCCCCGGGTTCCACGAGGGCCACGTGGAAAACAATCCAGTCCAGCCCCCCGAGCACGAAGGTCAGAGTCAAACCCAGGAACAGAGCCGGGCCGGGTCCTGGAGCCCAGGCAGAGGCCCTGCGTGTCCTGGCTGCCGTGGGTGCTGACGACGGCCCCTCATTCTGGGTGATTTCCCATCAGCTCCTGGAGGGGGGCTCTGTGGCCCCCCACATCTCGGCCTCCCAGTAGGAAGGTGGGAGCCAGGCTGGGGTGGGAAAGTGGGGGGACTGGGAGCACCTCCTTCCCGGGCCAAATGAGGCTCCGGAGGCGTCTGGGTGTTTTCCCATCTCCACATGCCCCTCCCTGCCCGGGGGAGAGCCACCCACAGCTCCTGGTCAGGAGGGCTGGGCACGGCCGTCCGCGGGCACCTGTGGGGAAGGAGCCTCGGCCGAAGCTGAGCCCTTAACGCACGACCTTCTCCCGGCTTCCCAGTCTACACACCCCTGCTGCTCCCCACAGCAGCACAGGCAGGGCCGCATACACGGGCTCCACGCAACACATGTACCCGCCACACATACAAACACAAGCAAAACCCATGAATGAACATAAACACCCGCACGCCTAGAAACACACACACATATGTATATACCCGACCCACACACAAATGCCGACCTTACTAATAGTGTCTGCCCACAGGCCTAGGCAGGTTCTCCA